TATAAGTATATACATTTTATTTGGATATGGATATAACAGTTTATTTTTAGAGGATACAGGCGCTCGATCAAAGTCTCCGTGTATCTTTTGTTATGCCATGCTAGCTCACACTACGCCTAATTGCATTCCTACGTGTATGATCGGATACCTTCTTGCGCATCTGAAACCTATTTGGTTCCATCTACGCTTGCCATTGTGAACTGAAAGGGTGAACAAGCCTGTGTGTAGGAGACCAGGAGTGTTATTTAGTGTTAGTTTTCTTCTTTTAGTGTCAGTGTTCACTGTTTACTGATGATGACGCTTTCCAAATAGATATTTACTAATTAGTACATTTGTAAATAAATATAGAAAAACTCCAGCGAAAATGGGCAAAGGCCTGCTTCGTGCTTTTCATTTAAAAAATAAAAATACCCCTTTCTTCCCCCTTCCTTTTCTGATTTCTCCCTCCTCCCGGGAGATTTTATCAAAAGTGCTCACCTTCGCTCACAGGGTCACATTTCACACTCTCACGCCTTTTTCTCCATATAAAAAATAATAAAATATTGCAGGAGCTTTTACGTTTACGGGTTAATATATACGTATATACGTTTAAAATTTTAACGCATTAATTCTCTTTCTCTCTCTCTGGCTCTCTTGTGTGTCACTCTGGACTCTTGAGAGAGGGAGAGAGATGAGATAGTAGTACTCTCTCTGAAAGTAAATAGAGGGATCAGGGAACAGTCGACACTTCTTGAGTGACTCGACAGCTGACAGCGGCTAAATACAAATCCCGAGAATTGTATTTTATTTTTATATTTATGTTGCGTGTTTCGAATTTCCGTGTTTCGACTTCCGAAGCTACACCGCTTGAGGTACAGTGGATGCAAAATGGACTACTGCGTGCTGAGTTGCTGACCCGTTTGAAACTGCCAACTTGCCAAATGCCAATTTGCCAACAACCCAGCAGCGATTGTATTTATAGTTTTATACCACCCCCCCCCCCCACCCCCCACGGGCCCAACCCCCGGCTCAAAGAGAGAGTGTGTAATAAACATGTAGTAGACGTAATAACGATTTGATAGAATACGTATAACGTTACCACATTTCAGCCACGGGATATAAACGTAAATATTACGTTGCGAAGCTTGCCCGATGACTGACCGCTGATGGCTGATATAAATATTCAAAAAATTAGGCTTTGAGCCTTGGGGCAATGGGCATGGGCCTTGCTTGGGCTGGGGGCCTTGGGCATGTGATTTTGGTTCAACGAGTATATATATTCTGATTAGCTAGATATCATAAACCGCCAATTCGAACGAATAGGATCACACTTACAGATTACAGATCTCGGTCTACAATATGTAACTTATGTTCGGCTGTGTGGTCATCGTAAAAATGTTTACACTTCATGAGAAAAAAAGGCAAGGTTCATATTTAGCCTTTGTCGAATTCAGAAGGCGTGTATGTGTAAATAAATAAATAAATACATTGTGATTGTACAAAGGTTGCCGTGATATGAGTGCGCAATTACACATAGCAATCGCAGTGGTTCATAATCAATTCTAATAGCAGAACGTACTCGCCCGCGAGGTTTTTTTTGGCACTTCAGCATTGGGCCGAGACGTGTGCCAAAGCGATGGTGCTTTCGTTTGGAGCTCCGCTTGGACATCGTGTTAATCAGCTTACAAAAGCCTCATGCTCGCTCTTGAGAATATGTTATGCTTTAGTTGACAATAACTTTGGTGCATGTTTACCGACCAGGAGACTGCTCAGTTCGAGTCGTGTACTCATAAGCGAACATCGAGAGCGGACAGCACAGATCCGTATAGGCCAGGTGGAGATAGACAGGTGAGACCCGCTGGTTTATTGGTAGCCTCTTCAATGTGCGTTACAGCTGTCTATAAGTGTGGATATTCGGTATTCGATTAAGCATTACGTTAATGTTACCTTGAAACTCTCTGGGAACTTCAATGAGTACAACGTGAGTGACTTGTTACCGTTAGATTGGAGATGGATACAACTACTGTACATACTTATAGCAGTGGAAAAGCGGCTGCTTGTGTACTAGAGGGATCATTTATAGTGTTTGGTACAAGTCACTCTACACTTATTTAGGCCGATCAGTGTGAGCTGCTGTTCCTGTACGACAACAAGTTGTGTATATAACCAAGTGTCACAGCTTCCCATCATAGGTGTAACACTGAACGTCGATATTCAACAGTCAATTGGAGGCTCTCTATTTGCATTGCATTGTTCCTGCATTATTATTTGTAATTCATAAATATCTGGATCACTTTATTTGTATTGTTATTAAAGGCACAAGCCTATTTTCAGACTGCTGATGCAATCCTACGAACTATATCATCTCATAAAATGAGCAACATCATCTTGTGACGCCGTGACACAAGTATCACTTCAATCGCACGGGCTATACCGCAGTGTACTCTGATGTAGTATTCTTTTATTTCTCAGGTACAAGCCCAAACACCCGGAGAATGTGCCTGCCAATTACACACACCAGATACCGTCGCAATCTGATCTGCGAGTGCTACGATGGATTATACAGAAAGACAAACTGGCACAGGACATGTTCTTGGTTGGGCCTCCGGTATGCGGTTGCATTCTTTCTGGCTGAATTGTGTACGATGTCAACGGGTTTTTAACATTGATTTTCCATTTGTGCACGCGTGTCGGTTTTAGTACTCGTGTACAGTACATTGTTATTGTCATATCGAGTTCTCTTCGACAGAAAAGGAATACGGAGCGCACAAATACACGCATCATTCTCTGGCTGCTCCGCTTTTGGTTTGTAATCTTTTTGATTCCAGGATAGTGGTCCGGTGTCGTATATAAATCTGTAATATATGGGTTCTTGTACGTGCGCAGTTATATACAGTCGTAGACACGCCCTTCATACGAGCTGGCCTGTGGTTGCAATGCACAGAGTGGACTCGCCGGAAATATACAGTGTCATTTTTCCATGCATATATACAAACGCACATTTTAAGCATGTGCCAATACTTTCGCCTGCGTTCGCTATTATTAATTGATATTAAATGCCATATATGGATATTCAGTATTGTATAACCTAAATGCATTAAATAATGTCATATCGGTGTTCTCGCCCCGTGTTCCTTGCGGATCACGGGTACTCTTTTCCAGGCTTCAAGGACAGGGCCCGCTGTGATGACTATTCGAGTAGTTGATACTTCATCATTGACCAAGCACTGAAATTCACCAAGCACTAAAGAGCACGTGTACCTGTAATGAGCATTACACTTTCGTTTGTAGTCGATCGTTTTCTCATTGCTTCACTTCGTCATAACTTAGCAGTTTTAATTTACAAAGTGTGCTTCACGGTTCGTTTTCATAGGGGCCCGAGGCCAGGCGTTTAGGACTGTGGTACGCCGAAATGACCGGTCGGGAAGTGGAAGTAGTGGCACTCTCGAAAGACACCACCGAATCGGACCTCAAGCAGCGCCGCGAGATTAAGAATGAGAGTGTGCTATACGTTGACCAAGCACCTGTGCGCGCGGCCATGAAGGGCAGGTATATTCGGAATTGGGACGTAACTGGGGAATAGTATTTTTGTTTTTCTTTCAATTTGCTATAGGTGGCCATACGTATGAATTTCATATACGCGATGGATCCACTCCATACTAGCTTAGTGAGTGCTGTTTGTGCGAGGATGATACCATCCAAGCGTACGATAGTTCTATTGCTGTGCGGTCGCTCGTTGAAGACCACTAGGGTTTCATATCAGGTCCTGGGTGCGGATGGTCGTCATTCGACTTTTAAACATATACACAACACTCCGATACGTGGCATTAAAAACGATGGTGTAATTGTCACTCGATGATTGCAAATTAATTGCTTTTCGGTATATCCTTACATCATTGCATGAGTATTGCTCACCGGAAGAAGTCTCAAGAGCTTATGTGTGACGTGCATGCTTCGATCCTTTATACACCAACATAGCCTGTTGATTCTCGACGGCATAGAAAAAGCCGAGAGAAATGTGTTGCCCACATTGAATAATCTGTTGGAAAATCGTGAAATGGCTCTCTCGGACGGGAGGTTCCTCTGCAATCCCGACAGGTATGAGCGTTTTTCATATCGTAATATGCAGGGATGTATTTGTAGACACACATGTGGCTAGTGAAGTGGTCATTATCAACAATACTATATGCACATACGCCACACATTATCTTCGAGTGCTCCGGAATTGTGTGCATGATCTACGGTTAAAAAGCGTGATGAAACGCTAAACTCTAGTAAGTGCAGGTATATTACTAAATGCGCGATTATGCGTTCTTTTATTAGGTTTCATGGTGTATATCTATGCAGATGTAAAACTCAACTACAGGACCACTCACCCACAGAGATACGATGAGGGATGTCTGAGTGTGGCGCAGATTGATAGCGAAAATCAATTGCGGACAACTTCAAGTCTATTTACGAATATTTATTGACCTTCTAACAACACACCTATCTGGTTAGATACTACAACATGTATGCCTACCCTTGCTATACACTATCTTATCTTACCAACTGTGTGGTTATGGAACATACCCACACGACAACCTTTACTTGCACACACTTTCGTTTGGTTACCAATGGCTCTACTGAAATGCGAACAGTCCTTGCGGGACCACCATGACTTTTGCGCTTTTGCAGTATATATATATATACATATAGATATATATATATATATATATATATATATATACATATACATGTACATGTACATGTACATATATATATATATATATATATTTATATATATAAACATACATACACCCACCCACCCATACACACACACACACATATATATATATATATATATACATATATATATATATATATATATATATACATATGTATATGTACATATATATATATATATATATGTATGTACTTGTATATATATATATATATATATACGTCATCAGTTGGTTTCCGAGCGAGAGAGAGAGGTGCAATTGACCCTTGAACATCCATCTGTAATATTGGAAGCCAGATGTAGATCACATACTTTCTACACTGACTGCCCATGTACGGTTTATGAATAGTTAGCCTGGTATATTCCCAAAGTAGAAGCAAATTCGACAAACTCGCAACTGGACGACGGCGGTTGCGCATCGGGCCGCAAGCGTTACAGTACATCCAAACCTCGCAATTGACAGGTTAAGATTAGTTGTATGTAAAATTCCAGGCGTACATATTTTGATGAACCGCTCAACACCTAGTACACCAGAACTCCTATCCACGAATACACCTCACCGTTTGATGAGCACGAAATATCGCTAGTCGTATGCCGCATACAAACCACATATGACTGGCTGGCTGATGTGAGCCAGAGCGTGGCAGAGATTGGCCGTGGGAAGTTGGTTGCGAGCTCACCCGATACGCGCGATTGCGAGTGTACTTGAAAACACCGATGTACCTATGAAGACCCACACATGCCAGACTTGGCTGAATTCATTGAGTACCACTGACCCTACAGATATGACAAATTGGTGGCTGAGGGACAAACTGTGGCTCAACTGGACCGCGAGCAGTTGGTTAGAGTTCATCCAGACTTCCGAGTGCTGGCCATAGGACTGCCCGTACCGTCATTTCCTGGATACCCGCTTGATCCTCCACTCAGGTCGCGTTTCCAAGCAGCCGAGGTGTGTGCGAGGGTTTGTATAGTCGTGAGCGAGTGAAATACCTATTATCTGTCGGCGTATATATGGATAGGTAGGGTGTATAGCTACTGGTACACATTGCATATGTTTGGCAGACTCCTTATATGTATACCGTCCCGCTACTAGATTAAATCACCTACATTCTTTTTCAGGCTAGCTTTCGGGATCTTATTTCCTTTGTCTTTTACATGCTTGCTTTGATTTCTACACGTTACAGTCTGGTACTGATCACTCTACACATACAGACACATACTAAAATACAGAGACACACCATATATATTTTTAATGACAGGTGACGGCCCCAACAGTCGCGGATGTGCTGCGCCAAGCGCGGCCCTCCAGCGACTACAGTGTCACACACACCCCGCCTATCCATACACACACACAAGCTCACTCACAAGCATACACTGAGGAAGCTGCCATACATAGAGAGCGAATCACCACCAAAGGCGTGCGCGAGCTTATCGCCCTATCCACCTCTCTGCGCATGGCACACAACAACAGCCTCGTGCGTACAAGCACAGCGCGACCGTTATATTTGAGTCACGAAAGTGTTATGAGCGGTGCGCGTGTGCTGAATGCCTTGGCATACACACCGCTGAGAGACGTGATTGGGCGCGTGTATCCGTACTGGGCCATGACAGCTGAGCAGAGCGCCGCGGTGACTGGGGCTCTGGATAGGATGCTACCGAAAGGAGGTATGGCAAATACGTGTACATAAGGCATCAGCCCACCTATATGTATTGATAAATCTATGCACATACTGAGTGCACAAGGTGTTGTTTGTGTGTGTGTGTGATATGGTGATGTGAGGTTCATTTCACACGTTTGGGCCGGCCAACCAGGTTCTCTTTTTTAATAGGGGGTTCCAAAGTTTGACTCATGTATACCACTATTTATGCGGGTGTCTATTGCAACAGAAGCAACTACGCTGAACTTATCATAACTGATAGTTTCACTTCAATCAGAACAGTGCGTATCGGCGTGTCAAGCATGATGTATTGAGGTGGCTTTGAGTGTTGTATATTGTATATTGTAAGTAAAGTATCAATTGGATGCTGGATTGTGTAAGGGTATGATCACAAAGGCCTTGGAGAACCTTGAATATGCTGAATTAAGATTTGTATATCACATATATGTGTCGAAGTGATTTGTACAGCTATTAAAACCGGAGACGAACGCGGCGGAATAGGGCTGTTTGGGTTTATTCTACAGTGTGGCTCGACACGAGTTCAGGTTCGATTGCGTTGCTTACCGTCGATTGTATTTGTCTACACGTACTGATAGCGCTTTAAAACGTAATTGGGGCACGCACGAATATGCATCAAAGCCGCTTTGGATTTGAGATGTGTGCTGTAGAATAGCCCAGCCGATGATGATTGATTCTAGGTCTACTACAGAGAGCGTATCATTCGTGTGCTTGCTTTTTCTATTTCTCAAGGCTGGTGTTATGATCCATATCGTGCGCTAACCAGAATCAGATGTATTGTATAAATATGATAGATTATTCATGTACTGCGACGCACATAACAGACATCACGCCGAGATACAATCTTGTTGGCGGTGCCGAGCTCCTGCCTACCCTCGATCAATCAAGTCAAACGTGTCAAGCGGTTGTCAGCATGTCCCTGAGTACAGATGCGAAAGGTGTCGAAGATACAGGTGAGAAACTGGCTGTTCAACAAGCATCAAGTATATAGCCATACTATGCAAACGTGATATATTTGGTTATATATATATATATATATATATATATATAGTGTGTGTATATATTATTATATATATATATATATATATATATATATATATATATATATATATATATATATAATATATAATATATACTTACTACTACCGACACACTATA